AAAGACAGTTCTTGCCATAGTCTGAGAGTGACAATCAAACACTCGTTACCCTTTGCTGAGACTCACCAGGGGGGCCGTAGAGCAGGCAGCCTTTTGGAGGGATAATTCCCACACGCTGGAATAATTCTGGGTTTGTAAGTGGCAGTTCAATGACCTGGGAAGGAACAGAGAACAAACTGAGACTGAGTTTTAAAACAGCTAATGGCACACCTGCCAGCCTGGTTTTCATGTCTCTGCATTATTTATTGGCAGCATATTTTGTTTCAGAAACAGCTGAGTAACAAAATGTCAGCAATCCCATGATCAATCCCCACTCTTGCCCTGACTGTGCAATGGCTGGTTCCTCTCCATGCTCTTTGCTCAAATGACATCCCTACTGTCATAATTCCACTCCTCAGTGCAATCCTGGTARCTTTTGAGCAAAATTCCAGTCTGCTTTGCTGCCCTCCCACTTGACTTCATGGTACTCCACAGCCTAAAGGGTCTTCGATCCTTTAAACCCTCTCCTCTAAAGGATTATCTTCATTTTAATCCCATTCCAAGCACTTGAAATGAAACATGGAAAGCACTAATCTGAGAGGATCATTGAACAGCCCCATGGTGGTGTAGGACAAACATCAAAAAGGTGGTTTTGCCCTGAAAAACTTCTCTCAGAGCATTTATCAGAATCTGAGGAGSGATTTGAGGCACTGGGTACCTCCCGTAACTCTCGGATTTGTTCCGACAGCCCCCCGATCTCAGAATAGGAAACATCTCCWGGGTCTTCATGAGACATGTTATAAACCAATGGATCCACTTCCCTGGGCAAATATCTGGAAAACAGGAATTAAGAATAGATATTTGTCATTGTGCAGACACATTTACACGTCTATAAAGTTATTCCCAAAAATTTTACAGCAATATGAAAATTATTTCTTGCCTTCCCATCTTATGTGCTGAAAAAACAGAATAAACCCAAATCTAGCAAACTTTTTCAAGTTTTAAAACAAAGCTTAAAAAAGGCTGAAAATACTGAGTCGCAATTTTTTTAAAAAGAACAACCAATTTTCCTTTAAATCATATAAAAGACACACAAGTCTTTCCCCATAGTAACTGTTCTTACTTAAGCACTGCTTTGCAGAAAATGTTTATGAAATATCAGACAACTGATGATTCAAATATTTGTGTAATATTTTTCCCCCTTTATATGATGAGCAGAAGAGCACAATCCTACCTCATAATAGTCAGAGTGGTCATGTCCAGAGCAACTCTCGTCCCTGGCTTCAGCTTACTCTTGTCAAGCTAGCCCCAAAAAAAAAGAATTCTGTTAGAACTCAGCTCCAAAAATTGCAAAGTTTCAGCCAAGATGTTAAATGGAGTTTGCACTCTTTGCTCCATCCCAGACAAGAAGAAAATAAGGTTACAGACTGACACACCAAGCAGTCACTAACTCACCTCCACACTTTTAAAATAAAGACTATTTTCTAGTCCACCATTAATTTTTAATTTTACTGCTGTCAATCTGACTGGATCAGGGGGATGTAATCCTCCCCTCTGCTCCAAACAGGACAGAAGCAGCTGTTTCAGAATACTTAAACAACCCTCACAAAAAGTTGCACATTTCCCTGTATCATTTCCTTCCCAGCTTTGAAGTCAGCTGTTGAATTACTCTTTCACCTCGGATGCCTCCTCACCTRCCTCAGCAGTTTTTATCTGCTTGTTCCATTTTTATGGGATTTTTAAACACATTTCAGTCCACCCTGATAAATTCTGCTGGAATTCAGAGAGTTTCTCACCTTGTGTTTCAGAAACTACTTTCAAGGCTTAACAACAAGGACACAGCCCATGCTGGATGGGATACTGGGAAGGAATTTTTGGCTGTGAGACCCTGGCACAGGGTGCCCAGTGGCTGCCCCATCCCTGGAAGTATTCCAGGACAGTTTGGATAGGACTTGGAGCAACCTGGGACAGTGGAACGTGTCCCTGCCCATGGCARGGGGGGGAACTGGATGGGGTTTAAGGTCCCTGCCAACCCAAACCATTCTGGGATCCTGGGACATGGCATTTGCATGAGAAGGATTTCAACAGCCTTTTTCCAATACTGATGGAAGTTTCCCACTGTCTCCTGGTGGATTTATAAGGTCTCTTGCCACTTGGGAGGGTTCTTGAYCCTCTGGCAGGGTTTAGGATCAAGCTGTCCCTTCTCCCTTACTGGAGTCACCACGAAGGCCATTTTCCAGCTCCCTTATCCAAAGAACTTTGTACCAGCTTGGAATTCTCAGTTCCAATTATGCCCAAGAGATTTAAGTTATTTTGCAGTGAGAAGAAAATGAMGAGAAACCACTTGACCTTCTTAGGWAATGCACTTRAGAYAGGGAAGTAATTTTGCTCCCACTTAAACAACCTTGCTCTCCTYCCTCCTGAGCAGCTACAGCTCAGCCATGAGAGCTTTGATCAAAAACTTGTCCTTCTCGTCTGGGAGAAATTATTTGTCTTTGATATTTTGACATTTTGAAAACAATCAAGGGTAYGGTAGTTTTGAGCCTCTGTAGCAAATCAAGGATCTTTTAAGATAAAAGTGCTTTTAGTGAAGAATAAACTCCAAAGTGCTGGTTCATCCAAGGACAACCTATTCCTTTGAATTCACCTCTGTTTCAACAAAGAACATCAAGATTACCTTACATGCCCCACAGTGGAATTGTTTAATTATGTCTCTGAAAAATTTGCAATCAACATCTGTTTCTCTTCAGAAAGGAAAAAAGTGGATAAAGATAATGGCTTTAAATAGACAGAGTAGGGTTAGATGGGATAGGGGAAGGAATTCTTCCCTGGGAGGGTGGGGAGGCCCTGGCACAGGGTGCCCAGAGAAGCTGAGGCTGCTCCTGGATCCCTGGAAGTGTCCAAAGCCAGGCTGGACAGGAATTGGAGCACCCTAGGACAGTGGAGGGTGTCCCTGACATGGCAGGGAGTGGACTGGGATGAGCTTTAAGGCCCCTTCCAACTCAAACCATTCTGGGATTCTGTGGTATACTGTTAAATAACATTAAATCTAAAGCTGAGTGCTATGACAAAAACAGCACAGCAACAACGACTTTACACAATTATTAATTTGCATAATAATTTCAAGATAGTCCAAAATCAGGCAGAAGGACAGAGTTTTGACTCAAGAAAAAGAACAAAACACATGCAAGGCACTGTCAGTGTTGTGGATTGTTTTGTCCCCACTAACACCACCTGCAAAGGGAGAGGAGAGCAGGTACCAGCGTCAAACAGTGATGTGCACATTAAAGGAGAAAACACTTCAYGCCACTATGAACACMCYRGATGAAAGSMA